TCCCCGGCCAGGGAGCTACCCACATGGCGCAGCAGCCCTCTCCTGACTCACCTGCCACTCCCCTCAGCAGTGTGTTTTGGTCAATCTGCCTGTTCTGTTCCCCATTCTGTCTCTGGTTAATCCTCCCCCTCCTCCCACCCCCCGCACCTTGGCCTGTACCCCAGCTCTTGTATGCATAAAAATAAAATAAATCTTAAAAAAAAGAGGAACTCCATAAAAGGAAGGGGGATGCTTTGATTCTTAAAGGATGTTGTTCTACCAAGAGCCCATCCCATGCCACCTAAAAGGGAGCCTCCAGGTAGGTCTCTAAGTTGACCACCTGTATTTTTATGAAAAGCTCCACAGTGGACTCTGAAGTACATTCACCATTATCCCCCTTTCCCCGGCACTGAGATGATCCACTCTAGACAGAGCTCACTGGGCTCATATCGGACAAAATGAAGTCCTTCCCAAAGATACCTTCCATTCTCCATGCCACAATTCCTTCCCAACCACTTCATCCAGGACTATTTCTGGTTTGCTCCTTTCCTTAAAAGTCCTATCCACTCAATTGTAACTTCCAGACATTCATTTCAAGACCAGCAAGCTCATTTATCCTAAGTCATTCTTTCTGTCCCTTGTGCACTGCAAGTCTGGAAGTATTTCTCAAAATGCCACTGTGACATGGAATGTACTAAGATATCAGGGGAGTTTTGGGAATGTGGATTTCTTTTCTGAGAACAAAATAGAAGGCCTGAAAACAGCTTATTATCCATCAAAGAAATCATGTTCCAACTGATAGCTTGTTCTCAGCAAGCACAGTCATCTACAGCAAGTCTGATAATTGCATAAAAAGACCTAAGAGGCTCTGAAGGATTGGGATGAGAGAGGAAGATGCATTTTATGTGGCTTTCTCTAATGTAATCACCAGTTACCAGTTAAAGGGATGGCAAGGAGCTTAACAAGCTCATTACAACCTCAGCACCTATGATCTTCACATACATCCCATGGCAGCCACAGGATAAAATGCCCTGAAAGGCCTTGCAGACCTTGGCTCCAGTCGCTGCTATTTTCATTCTGCCCCTTCCAAAAGGCAGCTGGTGTGTCCATTACCAGCTGCTGGGTCATATGGAAAATAAACCAAGAGTTGGATCAAATGTGCTCCTGGGCTGCTAACTACTCTTTTCCTTAATCTGGCATGACGAAAGGAACCCCATACTCACATTGGGATATTCCTATTTGTCAACCTAATTTTTCTACATGTTCTCCTCTATTTGTAAAATGATTGATTGCCCTTGTGCTGGTGATTTCCTGGGACAGTTTCAGGGAACAATCTTTGGGGTCTGTGCCTCTACTCCACAGAGGTTGTGCATGCACTGTAGAGGGCTAGACTCTTGTTTCAGGAGACACTGGTCATTCCTAGGATTAGCAGTTCTGCCTCTAGGTCATCTCTTCTCTTAGAACAAGTTTTTTATAAGTGAGTAATTCTTGTTATCAATAATTCACAGGGATACCTCCAGAGTCCAGTGCAGTTTTAGAAGTAATCTAGATTGGTCCTCAAAGCAATCTGAAGAGGTAGAAGCACCAGGGGCAGTATGAACATAGGATACAACATGAACAGTGCCCCTTGGTACAATATGGCGGTCCCAGCTGAGGGCACCTGGGTGGGGGAGAGTAGGGGGATTGAGGGCAGGAAGCCTATTTTGGTCTGTCCCAAACCAATTTTATTTGAGGTTCCATGGCACATTCTCCTTTAAAAGAGGTAAATGGAATCCGAGTTGTACCCATATTGTATTAAATTGAAACTTCACCCTGTAATGTGTGACCCTAGCCATTACTCACACTCAAGATCAGACAATAGCTGCCATTAAATCTAGGTAATCATTCTCTCCACCCAAGGGGGCTTGCAGTTTATGTTAAAAGGACAAAAAAAATCCTGGCTTTTTCATGATAAGCATTCCTTGCTTAGTAATAGCCCAGGTAGAACAAGTTCTTATAAGTCAAGCCATAATCCAAATTCATGAGGTATACCTTCTAATGAAACAAATTGCCACCAAATTTACCTGCTCTGTAAATCTTAATTTTCATTTATTAGATGTTCTTAAAGGGGATACAGCCATTTGAATAACATTGTAAACACAGAAAGTTACTCTATGTGTCAAATTCTTAGAGTGCTGTCCAGAATCCAACAAAGTCATAGGAAAACTCCAAAAGTAATTTGCTGCTCCTTACTGAGATGATAATATCTTGGAATAAATAGGAGTTTAGGCCACACTTGCTATTGATATCATAATATAAATAAACTTAGGGATCTGTGCTTAAAAGAGATTTTGGGTTGGTAGGGAAGGCACAGAAAATCCATGAAGTTACAAGTTCTTTGAGGTATAGGGAGATGCAATGAACAAAAAGAGGTGAAAAATGACAGAAATGCAAAGACTAGGTCACTCAAGGAAAATTTAGTCAACGTACCAATTTTACTTGGGGTTGAGACCTGACTTGATTCTTCCGTTTCCATTTTGGGAAATGGGAGTGGAAGGGTAGGAGAGAAGAGAATAAGTCTAGGACCAGTTTACTGTCAAGACCGAGCTAATCGAAACCACTATCACTTATGTGAGGACTGGAGAAGAAATACTAAAACTTTAACGAAAGCACAGGAGATTTACTCAAGATGCTCTCTAAATTCCTTGACAATTTTACAGTGAGATTATGAATCAAGTTCACTCTAACTCTCCTTCCTTAATACATGGTAGCTTGGGAGGCTGGAGAAGGTACTATGACCAAACTTTTATCATTCCAAAGAGCAGAGATTTGATTTTAATGGGGTGGCCTTGGCATTTTACATTGTATAGTACAGTAAACAGTACAGCTGAAAAATATTCACTTTGCACTGGTGTCGTTTCTCAGGATGCCAAGTTAGATCCACAGTAATCCGCCCAGACTTGTCCTTCTTAGCACTCCCACTGTCTCTGAATCATCGGGAGCACTAATGCATTCTGAGTCCTGCTGTGATGTAATTAAGGGATAATGTTTGCAACAAGGAGCAGAGAGAGTTGTAAAAGCCTCCCATGGGTGATTAAATGCTGAGGGAAAGTTGAATAACTATAGCATTCACTAAGTGCAACTTTAGTCCAATGCCACAAGCATCCCCTCCCTCCTTGCCAATTATAGGATAAGGTTTCTAAAAAAGATACACACACACACACACACACACACACACACACACACAGAATCTGTAAATAAACATGTTCATGCTTTCACCTCCCTTTAGGAAATGGAGAACTGAAGCTACTACATCCTAATGCTTACCTAGGATGGAGTCTAGACTGAGTTTATGCTAAAGGAATTAGCACAGGAAGCTACGAACTGCTTCAAAAAGGATTAAATGGGGGAAATATGTGGATACCTCACCAATATTGAAGGAAAAGAAGAGGTCCATTCCTAACTGTGTGTGCAGTTTATATATTTTGTAATTTTTGACCTTAATGAGCCATTTACTTGTCCTGGCTGGGTCTCAATTTTGTGCACCTGAAAATGGCAGCAGGTGGGGGAGAGATGTTTGGATTAGGTAAATTCTGAACTCTTTATGCTTCAGTCCCATATATACACACATTACACAGAAAAATATGAGTGAGACTCTGAGGAATCACAACACTCACACTGCTGAAAGGACTGCAAACTGGGAACAACTCTGGAAAATAAATGTGTCAGTGTCAATAAAATGGAAAATATAAGTCACTTGTGACTCAGGAATTCTCTTTTCCTTAGGAAAACTTTTATAGTTGTGCAGTGAGACAAAAGACCAAAAAATAGCAACGCTGCAAGAATATTAGTAAGAATCCAAAATCAGAAAAAGCCAAAACGCCTAACAATAGAAAAATAGGAAATGGATAAATGGAATAGGGTCTGTTCACACAAAGGAATACTACAGAGCAGTTTATAAAATGTTGTTACTCTATATAAATCAATCCTAATAGTTTAAAAGTATAAATTGTCAAGATTGTGTAAACCTGAATAACCACAATGGTTAACTATACTTGAATGTAACAAATTGAATCGATCAAATTCATGAATCCACAGTAATAAGCAAACCAAATAGAAAAACTCATAACATTGGATGAAAAGGGCAGTAGAATGTGAAGCCATTTATGTACTTTTTAATTAATATAAAAAAATAACGTTCAGTGTTCACATATGTGTGTGTGTGCATGTGCACAAAACCAGGGAAAACAGAAGGAAGGACCCATAGAACAAGATAACAGTTTTGCTTGGGAGGCAAGATAGAAGTCGGTGACTGGAAACTGGGAAAAAAGTCATAATCAGTATGATTTTTTTACATATGTACATATAATGCAAGAAACAACAAACTGTCATTTCTAGATGGTGGAGGAGATGTGCTTTATAGCATTACTCTTTGTACTTAAAAAGAACTCCAAAAATAAAAAGTATGTGAGCAGCAATCTAGGGAAGATACATGTTAACAAGCTCCAAGAAACAGGTAGACCAGCCTTTGAGGCGTCTATTGTGTCCAATATGATAGCCACCGGGCACATTTAGTTACTTGCACTTGAATTAAAATTAATTAACTAAAGTTTTACTAGCCACATGTGGCTAGTGGCTATTGTATCAGGCAGCTCACAGAACATTTCTATCATTGTTACAAATGCTATTAGAGCCTGTCTCAAGCTACAAATTTGTCCTTCAGACAACAGGTACATTGATTACTTTGCTCTTTCCCTAACATGTCCTTTTGCACATAAGAAAACTGAAGTAATGACTAGGAAGGTTTTAGCATTTCTGGAAGGAAAATGTCTACTAATCCTAAATTCCAATTATGGTTAAAGGAACACTTTCTTATTAAAGAAATTTAGATAAGCCATTTTTGAACAGAGTCTAGCAATAATCCACAGTTATATAAACATCATATTTCATTTTCCCCTAAAGTTAGGAAGTAGAAAGATAGGCTGAAAGATAATGAAACTCTAAAGGCATGTTCAATCATTTTCCAAAGGCCTGTTTCTTACCTGTACACAGTATGAGGGATGTACACTTCCCGGGTTGGGAATTCTAAAATTTCTTTGTGTGGACGTGTGCAGTTTTCAGGAAAAGGTCTCACTGGCAGCATTTCAGGAGTCAGACAACAACTAATTACCTCTGGAGCTGGAGAAATCTCCATTCTGAGTAAGCCTAAAAAGAGGAAAACAGGCTTAGTAAAGACATTATCATTTTACAAGGAATCAAGTGAGATTGTTATACTGTATTTCTCTCATGAAAATAATGGTAAGTGTGGAGTTGGACTTTCTGGCTAATTTTCCAGAGTTTGAGAAAAAGCATGTCATGACAACATTTGCCATTTAGAGTCTAGAAATTAAAGAGCAAGAGCTTAGAAAATAAGTAGGAATGAATTAGAGGATCTTTAAAGTCCCTTGCAGAATGACGACATTGTCTACTAAAAGTATACAGTTAAGTAGCAAATCTGTATTACAAACAGAAAAGAAGATTGGTGGTTTTTGAACTGGGCTCCCCAGGCACCCCAGAAGAGCCCAGGGGCTATAAGCTGAAGATAAGTTACTTGCCCTAGCCTACGACCAATGCATCTCACTTTCACTTTTTTAAACACCAAAAATTCCATATAAAATTGTATTTGACAAAAAAGGCTCCTCTGTCCAAACAATTATCTGATATCTGAAACACTAGATAAAAGTATGATGTTTTATTTTATGGTGTTAACCCTTTAATAAAAATAGAAAACATTAATAGATTTATCAAAAACATAGACCTTAACTCCTAATGCAAAATCCAATACTTCACTTGGCAAATAGAGTTTTGTAAATTGTAGCATTAGACAAATCATGTGTCTAATCACCAAGGACTTTGATGGACTTAGAGGATAAAGATCAGCCATCCACACCTGGAATTGACTTGACTCTTCTCTGTAAGGATGAAGATCTTTTGTAGTCAGCTAAAAACTTGAATACATCTTCATCACTAAGGCGATCTCCCTCCTGTCAAGAGAAAAGTCAGAGTTAGTGCACCACTGATTCCTGGGATAAGGACCAGTAACTTCTGGGAAGATTTTTTTTTAAGATTTATTTATTTATTTATTTATTTATTTATTTATTTATTTATTTATTTATTTATTTATTTATACAAGAACTGGGGTACAGGCCAGATGCGCGGGAGGGTGAGAGGATTCACCAGAGACAGAGTGGGGAACAGAACAGGCAGACTGATGAAATACACTGCTGAGGGGAGCAGTGGGCGAGACAGGAGAGGTCTGCTTTGCCATGTGGGATTCTCGCCCGGCCAGCCAGAATTGAACCTGCACTGCAGAGGCTGCGGACAGCTTCACAGTGAGGCGCTCAACCTCCTGCACCACCAGGGGAGACCCTCTGGGAAGATTTTTTATCCTTAAGTTTTATTCAAACATGACTTTCCCAGAAATTAGGATTATAGGCAATTCTGAAATCATTTAATTCAACCTCTTTTCTAATATTCCTTTTCTATCACTTCCGAATTACTGTCACTCAGACTCTCATCAATACTTCTAGAGTAGGAACTTCTACCATATTCTAAGAAAACCTGTTTCATCATTAGAAATTGACATCAAAACCTTCTCCACCTAGAACTTTTAAACACAGTGATGCTCATTTCATTTCATAGAACAATAAAGAACACGTTTACTTCCTTCTTTGAAGATCTGAATATTAAGAAGGTACATCCCATCATTTTCCCTGCCCACGCTTTCTTCACTTTTGTCTTGGCTAAGGTAGCTAAGCATAAATACCACTTTCTATGTGCCAAAATGGTACAGGCACTCTGCCAAAGGATATATATATGCAAGAGCTCTAATCCTGCCCATTAAGGCAGGCATGTAAGTAGGTAGGTAGATCTTATTCCTAAGTACAGACTAGAAAACTCAGACTTAGTTAAGTCATATACTTGCCTCAGAAGATAATAAATCATAAGGGGTGAATCCTAAATAGAAACATTTTCAGTCCCATGATACTTCTATTACGTGGTATATTGCACGCACTCCTCAGCCTCCATTCTGCTTTTTAGCTTTTTAACATAACCCTTTGAAATGCTCCCATGAAGACAGTTTGAGTTATGGGAAATTTTCCAAAACAGAAAAATTAAGTCTAAATTAAGTTTTTATGTTGTAGAAAAATACACATCAGATTTACCACCTTAACCCTTTTGAATGTACAGTTTAGTAGCTTTAAGTACATTGACACTATTGTATAGCCAATCTCTAGAACTCTCTCATCTTGCAAAACTGAAACTGTACCTATTAAACAATAACTCTCCATTCCTCCCTCCTTCCAGACTCTGGCAACCATCATTCTACTTTCTCTCTCTATGAATTTGATTATTCTAAGAAATTCTTTGTTTTTAAACAATTTCAATGTTTATGCAGCTAATAAAGAGATCATATGCAATGGTCACCCTCTAAGAGCAAGTAGCAAGTTGGCAGCCCCAGAAAGCCTGACAGAACAAGGTGAGGACAACAGTCAGGCCAGGAAACCCAGAGAACAAGGAGGAAAGACATGTTTCAGCCAGACAGCCTTTATAGCCTAATAAATGAATTGACCATGATAGTTAAAATAGGATGGCTTGAATTAATGGGAATGAATCCTCAATTTAAAAAAACTAACATTCAGTGAGCACTTGGTTTATCCCAGGTCCTCTGGGAATAGCTTTAAATGCCTCCTGTCACCTAATCATCCCAATGAGCACATGATACAGGCACCATCATCCCTGTTTGAAAGATAATGAAATTGAGGCTTAATGAAATCAACTAACTTGCTCTCTCTACTACATATATTCTGCTTTGGGTTCCAATATCCATGCCATTGCAGGGACAAATCCAGATACACCATAAAGTGGAGCGATACCTGCTTGAAAAAGCTGTTTATGGTCATGGGGGTGGCCTTGAAGTTGGATCCAACCCCATTTTCCTCCAAGGAGAGAGTTCTTTCAGCAGCCCTTCGAGATTGGGACAGAGTTCTTCGATCACCCACAGAATTTCTCCCTTTAAGGAAAACAGCTGTCATTTAAAAGCATGCCTTTCTGTTTGAATATACAATCATTATTAACTTTATCATATATAAGATGTTCAAAGCCTCTAATGGGAACATTGAATAAGGCCTTTTTTTTAAAGATTTTTTTTTTACTTTTGCATAGAAGAACTAGCATATAGGCCAGAGATGTGGGGATGAGAAGATTCACCAGAGACAGAGTGGGGAGCAGAGCAGACAGATTTACTGAAATGCACAGCTAAGGGGAGCAACAGGCGACACAGGGGAGGTCTGTGGTGCTATATATTGGTTAGCTCACTGGCTGGGGATGGAACACAGGCTGCAGAGGTTTTTTTTTTTTTTTTTTTTTTTTAAAGATTTATTTATTTATACAAGAACCAGGGTACAGGCCAGATGCGCGGGAGGGTGAGAGGATTCACCAGAGACAGAGCGGGGAACAGAACAGGCAGTCTGATGAAATACACTGCTGATGGGAGCAGAGGGTGAGACAGGAGAGGTCTGCTGCACCATGTGGAATTCTCGCTGGCCGGCCAGGCTCGAACCAGCACTGCAGAGGCTGTGGACAGCTTCACAGCGCAGCACTCAACCACCTGCGCCACCAGGGAGGTCCCTTCAGAGGTGTTTTTGAATAAAAATTTCCTCCACTGCCCCAACCTTTCTTTGTGCCATACTGGAGTCCCTCATCTTTCTCTGACCAGAATGAGGAGGCCCCTGTCTCCTCCCACACAGAGATCAGGGTAGGCCAGATGCCACCCAGCAGGAGCCTAGAGCTGCCTGCCAGAACTGGGTGTGCAGATAAGCTTTATTTAGTCAACAGTGTTTGTTTTTGTTGTATTTTTACATTTGCATTCCATTGGGAGAGAGGCATGCACTCAAATGCCCCTGAAGGCATTGGGGATTGTGACTCAAACATGCTAGGGTCAGCCTGTGTATATTCTGAGTTTTCATCCTCTTTCACTATGTTTGTAGGAAATCAGAGCTGAGTTTCTGCCTTAGTTGAATTGTTTAATGGTAATTATCAATAGAATCCTGAGTAACACTCAAACCTGGCCAGGACCCTGATACTCTGCTTAGTTGTTTCTTAGTCCCTGTTGAGATTTACATGGGGATCTTACTGTTTTTTCACGTAAATTCAGGGATTCTGCTTTGAAAGGTCATATTATTTCCAGATAATATTGCCAACACCTATCTTTGAATATTCTCTTATCCTTAATTCTTAACTTGATACTGAATTAGAATTTCTTGCAATTCCTGTGTACCTAAATTTTTCATACCACCTCATTTTAACACTGCATCTTCTGGTTGCTTCTGAAGAATCAGTCTCTGCAGTCCGGTTAATTTTTCCTTGACCTGGAGATTATGGAGGCCCCAACAAGCCTTGTGCCTGAATACCTAGTCTATGGTATCCTCTAAGCTCTACACATAAGTATTTTATTTTTATTTTTTAAATATTTATTTTATTTTTATGCATACAAGAACTGGGGTACAGGCCAGAGGTGTGGAGGTGAGGTGTGTGTGAGAGAATTCACCAGGGACAGAGTGGGGAACAGAACAGGCAGATTGACTAAAATACACTGCTGAGGGGAGCAGTGGGTGAGTCAGGAGAGGTCTGCTGTGCCATGTGGGTTGCTCCCTGGCTGGGGATTGAACTCGTGCTGCAGTGGCTGCAGTTAGCTTCATAGGTTGCATCTTAACCTCTTGTGCCACCAGGGAGGCCCACATAACTATTTTAAATAAGAATCTATGTCGACATAGAAGGTAGCATTAAAAATGTCATTGTGTGGAAGGTTAGAATGCACTAAAGCAAACCTTGTTATTGACAACTTGTAAATAACTCAGGAATTCTGACCAGTCATTATGCAACAATAATTCCAGAATAGCAGCAAGAATAACAAAATACCTTATCTTCCATTCCCCCAAGAAAAGCAACATTTCAGAAGTGGCAGAAGGAAGGAATGCATGGGAAATGTGAACATGGACTTAGTATTTGCTGTTACAAAAACATTTAAGGCAACAGAATCTCTACCACAGGTGGGTGGGTCTACTTGAAAATACTCCAACCCTCTTGAACAGCTCTATACCCAAACTGCTTAGGAAATTAATGATACAGATCAAGGGTGAGATGATGAAAAATAAATATACTAAATAAGTTGGAAAAGCAATGAAATAGTCTTTCGGCACCCACTTTTTCATTGTACTTAACAAAATAAACTTTAAGGAACTGGCAATTTTGCTGAGAAACCTGAGTTGTTCTTTTCAAAGCCATGTGACCATGCTTCTCCTTCTGTTATTTAGGAGTCAATGTGAGGAGCCCACCACACTGCCTTTGTCTAACACATGCTGATTATACTTTCTTCTTATTTTTAAGAATTTTACTTTGAAGAGGGAAATGCTTACTGAAAATGAACTTTTTAAGGCATCAAACTATCTAGAGAATTAAAACCAAAAATCTTTTTATAAGAGTATACTTAAGCTCCATAGATATTCATAATTGTTTCAGGATCATAGCCCAAGCAAGCTTTTGTGATTCAGTCATAACAGTGTTTCATCCTACTTATCTTCTTTCCCACTCCTTACTGCACTCCCACCCCCAATAAGGCAGTTGACCTCAGAACTGGTGCATGGCAGCTGAAAGTCTTACCAACCATGGACTCCACATCGGTTACCTCCCTTTCCAGGGTAGAGACATTGAAGAAGCTTGATAAGCTTATGGTAGCCCAGGCAAAAGGCATGCGGTATTTCCCCAAACGCTGACAGAAGGCTTCAGCCTGAAGTTTCAGTTTTTCAACCTTTTCTTTACTCTAGAGGAAAATGGAAAGAGACAGATAGAAAAACAAGTAATACAGCACTAGTACTAAGTCAACTTCTTCTGACAGGGATATCATAGCCATCTCCAAAATCCCTGGCCTATTGATTAAAAAGTGAATAGTCAGAAAAGTGATTCAGCTCCAGCCAGAAGCCTAGCAGACAAGGAAATACAAATTTAAAAAAGAAGTTTAAAGAGAAAAAGTCTACATTCACTTATTATTTTAAAAAAGCTTGTTATACCAGCTAATCAATACATATGTCTTTTACAGGTTAGCTATGTAACTTGGATTCACATGAGAAAATCTTGAGATAAAAAATTTTGTGTATCATCTACCTAGGCCCCAAGCGAGCCTGTTTTTCAAAATTTGCCCTGGAAAACTCTAGCAAGATCTACAAAATCCCCTAACAATTTCCTTATCGAATTGACAATACTTCCAAGATGTTCTTTCTAAATTCAGAATAAAAGGTAGATTTTTAAAAAAGTTTTGAGTGCAATATATTTTATTTGAAATTTATGAATCTGTACTAGGATGCTGATTAAACAAGACATATTCCAGAAATGCCATATTTTAAAGACCATAGTGAAAAGCTTTGCAAACTGGTGCTGAAAAAAGATCTTCTTTTGGTAGGCTTATTAAATGTGCTGTACTAATGAATCTATGATATACAGTAGTTTCAGCCAGTTTCCAAATATTCACATGACATTTGAACAGTTGAGGGAGGCCAATAGAGCTCTTGCATTGCTTAATTTGTGGGGTCTCAGTGACCTCCCAACCAATTGGGTCAGTGTCTCTGAATCAAGACAACAGGATGTGGCTTTGCCTTAGCCAAGTTTTGTAGTTAGACACTGGTGTGTATAGCCTCATTTGTTAAGTTCAAGTTCAATATTTTATCTTTTTTAAAAGGGTCACATCAATGACCAGTTTATCTTCCTTCTTTTGATTAAATACAATTTACTGGTGTCTTGTGAGACATATTATGGATTAAACCCCACTATTTTGTAGAACACTTCTGAAAAAATCTACATATTTTAAAATGTCACCATTTAGCAATACTCAAAATATTGTACCTTTCCACCATCACTTTCTTTGATAACCATGTAGGGTTCTGCACAGTCTCCAATCTCTCCTTGCTGAAGGACTTTTTCAATCTATCGACAAAAATAGTATTAAAATAAAGCACATGAATTAACACCTATATAATGGTAGCTATGCAATCATCAAAATGATGTTTTATGACAATATTTGATGACAGAGATGTTTTTCAATTTTAAAAAATTAATATGAAAAGTACTACACAGTTTTGTAAAACACAAATCATGAAGGCACATTAAAAGGATAATAATAAATGCACAGCAAATGCTAATAGTAGTTATCACTATATGGAAGGATTAAGCACTGTTTTTATTTTCTTTCTATTGCTTATGTGTATGTTCTATTTTTAAACAATAAACATGTCTTATGCCTACAATAAAAACATAATAAAAGTTATTTTATAAAACAAAACCCATGAGACATATGTAGGAAGTGAAAAGCTCATTTTCTTTATTATTGCTTACAGTGTAAAAAAGAGATATGGTCTCTGTAAAAGTCAGGTTGGAGACTAAAATCATCCACAAAATGAATAAATGAACAGCATAAATTATCCGTAATTGTCTCCCTTGTATTTCTTATTAGGGCTGCTTCTGTGGATTAAACAGACTTGGAAAAAATCTGAAAATAATGGGATGGTACAGCATTTCACTTTGCTAACTGGCTTGTAATATGAATGAATGCTACTACTGTCAAACAATTTCTTCTATTTTGCTCCAGGTAAAGGATCTGGTTGCTCATAAATCTGGGCACCAGCTTTAAAAGCAAAACAAGGAGAACTTTGAAATTTCTTAATTTTGCTCAAAGAAAATTTAACTCAGATGGTAACAAGAAAGACAAGCGGATTTAGTCTCATTACCTGTGTCATTAGTTGAGATAATTCTTTCAGCAGAAATTTGGGTTACTATGTTCCAACAGGCATACAATCTTAATAGGCTCTATCAATTAGGTGCAAAGTATTAAAACCAGAATGATGGAGGAGTTTAATGGAGTTTAATGGAGTTTCAAAGGAGTAGCTCAATGGATGTTCATCTCAGGGAGACTACAAGTAGAGAGTCCTCTTCTAACAATAGAAGTTTAAAACCCCTTCTGTTCCACAGCAGAAAGACAAGGTGGAGCCCTGGAGAGATGCCCCAGGAGAAGGACATAGACACATAATCCTGGGTCTACAGATTGACTGGTATTGCTGTAAGCCAGCAATCATTCACTTATTCACTTTTCTGTAGCACTCAACAATTAAGTCTTAGTGAATACAAGACTTTTAGTCCCTATTGTCCTTAAGTGCACAGCCAGAAACTTGTACAGTAAATTCAAAAAAAGCTAATTTTTCCATGAAATCAATCAAATGTGATCTTTAAAATGAACATTAAACAGAGATAAAGAAATTTTAATTTGGACCCTGAAGCAAGAAAAGGGAATGCCATAGTTTCAAGCACTAGTAGTACACAGTGTGGAACCCAGAATCTGAAAGCAGGAGAATTCAAATTTAACCAGATCAATAGATACTATTTACTTCACTGAACTGGGCAAGGCAACTTACCCTTCATGAACCTGCCCTTCATAACTCTTTCATAAGAAGGAGCTGCTATCAGAGCCCATTGTTGGGTCCCCCCATAAAATGCAAACATTCTCATAACCATGGCAGGTAGGGGAAAGGAACACAATACAATCACCTGATCATTATTTTAAGATGAAAAGAGGCTACCTGCTCCCCTATTCAGGAGGGGCTGGTCAGTGCCTGGTGTGTCTATTTTCAAAGTTTTAAATAGATTCACTCTCATTATATCTCTCCATTACTCAATTGAGGAAACCATAAAGCCTGAAATAATCCCTTAGAGCAAGCTTATATGCTTCACCTCAACTAGGTAGCTCTACTGAAATTACAGTAAAATCCTGATGTTCAGCCTGGAAATAAAAATAAGAAACAAGCCCCTCTTTGTGAAATGGAATCTGCCTGGATAAGCTAAATATAATGCCACCATGTACTTATTACTTAGAGGGAAATATATAAGTACATATACATATGTATAAATACTTAGGTATTTAGAGGGAAAGAAGCAACATGATAGATTACAGAAAGGAAGAGCAAATCAGAAGCAAACTAGGAACTGTCTTACTGAATCAATTTAAGTTTCTTAGCTATAGCTGGACAACTGAGAGAATGTATGTCATTGGCAATGAATGCATTTATATATTTGTAAATTTGGCAATATATTTAGTAAATAGAAGCAACCCATTTGGCAAACTACTATGGATTTTAAAAAGCCCCCAAACAAGTCATTCATTGAGAGGTGGAGTTTGAACAAAATTCCACCCTACATAATTGGAGTGTCTTCTTTTATTTCCCAGGCCAAGAGAGACTTTTGCATTTAACTACAGGCCTGCTGGTAATGGACTTCAAGCTAGTTTTCCTATATATCTAGTAATACTGCAACAAAATTTAATGTCACATTAATGCTAGACAACAATAGATGTGTCTTTTTTTACCAACAGAATTTTAATGAAATATTTTAAACAAATAATATGCATCATCAGAACATGCAATTCAGTTTGTGTTTAACTACCTTGATGACCAGGTAGATATCTGAGGATGGGTAGGTGACGGAGAACACTGCAGATCTTGCCTGACTAGATGTGGCAACAGAGGGTGTGTGAGCACGCAGGAATCCTTTGAACTGGTCAGAGTTCAGGTCACAATGAAAATTTTCTGAGATCTAGAAATGAGAGGCAAAACCATATTACACCTGCTCTTCTCATGGTCTAAACATGAGAGAAAAAACACAGAGAAATTTTAGCAGAGGAATAATAATAATATGGACATAGTTTATGACTAGAGGCTGCTGGAAAATCAGATATATATTTTGTTACAATTTCTAGATATCTGGAGCCATTTGAGAGATGCATCTTGAAACAATTTAGATTTTTATGAAACCACCAGTATTTCTTGAATGTCAGTGATATGCTAGGTATTGCACTGAAGAAGAGCAAAACATTGTTTCTGCCTTCAATTAGTTTACTATTAACAGGAAGGAAAAGGCAAATATGTCACTAACTACAGTAAGAGTAAATATAAGTGACCACATTCATACAGAAGTTCCAGAGGTTGAGATCAAATCTAGTTGGGGTGACCAGGAGCTGAATGGTAATGAAGAGAGTGACTTTGGAGGCTCATATTGAAGATGAGGAGCCACTGCCAGCTTATATTCTTGAATGACTGAGTGGCCTACCATTCCTGACTTGGCACCTCCCCCACCTCTGCAAATCCTGGATTGTTAAGAAACAAAGATGAACACTTCTTTAAACTAGTGGTTCTCAAAATGTGGCTCCCACAGCTTCAGCATCACCTGAGAAGCTGCTAAATGTGTACATTATAGGCCCTATTTTTAGTGATTGAAAAATACTTAGTGATTGAAAAACTTAGTGATTGAAAAACTCCAGGGTGGCACCCCACATCTGTGTTCTAACAAGCCGTTCAGACAATTTGGAAGCACAAAGTATGACCATCACTGCTTTAAATTATGGAATTGAGGGTCTCTTGGCTTTTTCACTAAACTTATCCTAAACAACACAAATCTCAGTGATTTTTAGTATTTATTCAAGAGTTAGATACTTCCTTAAATACAAAATGGGTAAAGAGGGACAGAAGTATCCTCTTCTGGTTTTGCTATTTTGGTCTTCCTCTGGAATTTGCAAAATGACTAAGCATTAAAACACTCATGGCAAAATCTCAGGTCCTGTCCTTGATCTAAGGACTTCAGTTAAAAGCACATTATAATTGATGAGGTCTTCACCCTGTAGCAAATTTAGACTTTTACTGCACAGATGCCTTCCATCCAGGATGAACCATTTCACAAAGAAAAAAATTTCCATACTGAGAAAACATTACATGCATATCTGAACTTATTGAAATGAATTTAAATTGCTGTGTTTTACACATACCTGTCATGCTGCTATTTTATTTTTCTCTCTATTCTCAACCAGACCACCACTTCCAACAGGTTTGCCCTTAAATGTTCTTCAAAGAAGATAAAAGACTACCTTTCCTAGATCATTCCTTCAAAAATTGCAAAGGCAATAGAACTGGGCATATCAGAGGTCATCGACTTTCAGATCTGATCTGTTTTTGCTGCAAAGAGGTTAGATTTAAAAACAAGAATACAAAGAATCATAAACAATACTGTGTCCTCAGACTTGTGTCATTTTTTGCTGCCTTACCTTTTTCCTTTCTTTAACATCATAGAGGGCAATGCTGGCAAACAGAGGCTCAATTTCAATCTCAAACCTATTAGAGAAAGAGAGAAATCACTATGAGTTTTAACTTAAATAATTTTGAATTTTATGAAAGTGGCTGGATATGTAAACTGGTTAAGAACATAAACACAACGAATAATTTGTGTGGGAATTTCTATTTCTATATTTTCTACTTTACAAAAATGTTAATATATCACTTCTAAAATCAATAAACAGATATATGCAAAAAAGAATATAAACAGTCTCCAGAAATATTTGAATAATTCTATGCACTTGAGACTCACATACAGGGATATTAATGGAGAAATATGGGAGCTTCATAGAATATCCCTAATCAATTACTATCATGGTAGATTCTCCTCCAAAAAATGCTTGTTGGTAGCATTTGAAGAGAGAGCAGGCTGATGCAACAAGGCACTTCATATTATTGTAGCTCTTATGTTTTCAGAGAATTAAGTCTCTGACAAGGTAAAGGCTCATTATAGTTTATATTGTATGGCTAGAACAGGAATCCCTATTATTCAATTCTAAAGAATGGAGCTTTTCAGGCAGTTAAAAATATTCCAGTTGCTTTTCATTAGACTAATGGTATCATCCATTTATTTATCTGTAAAATGAGAAAAGAATACCTGCCCTTCCCATTTCACAGGTTGTTGTAAGGATTATGTAAAATAATATGTATGTGTACTTTAAATACAATGTTCATAATTAGCATTATTCACAAAAGCCAAAAGGTGGAAGATACTCAAGTGTCCATCAAGGGATGAATGGATAAACAGAATGTGGTATATTCATACAAGGAAATATTAACCTTAAAAAGGAAGGGAATTCTGACACATGCTATCACATGGATAAGCCTAGTGGACATTATGCTAAGTGAATGCAGTCAGTCTCAAAAAGAAAAATACTGTATGATTCTAATTCACTGAGATTAGTAAAATTCATAGAGACAGAAAGTAAAATGGTGGATGCCAAGGACTGGGGAACAAAGGAATAGGAATTATTGTTTAGTGGGTATAAAATTTTGGGAAAATGAAAAAGTTCTGGAGATGGATGGTGATGATGGTTGCACAGTAATGTGAATATCTAATAGCATTGAACTGTGCACTAAAAATGGTGAAGATGGTACACCATAAGTATTGTATATTTTACCACAAAAAAAGTCAAGGACTACTATGATTAGTCTTTCTATTGTCATATGATAGCATTTTAATTGGGATCTTCACTGTGCCTAGCTTCAAAAACTATTGCCTCACCATGGTCCATCTGTAGTTAACTTTGTGCTCTCTGGTTCACAAAGGTCTGAATATTAGTAGGATCTACTTAGGTAGGTACAGAATGTTAATTAAGCTCACTGTAGTTCAGAGAAAGAAAAAGAGAATTGACATTAGTCAATTGTGCTGTGATATGTACTTTGCACATGTCCATTCCTTTGTACTTCACAGCAAGAGTATTATTCCCCCTTTTGAGGTCCAGAGAGATTAAGTAATTTGACAAAAGCCAATATATTTGGAAACAGCACATTCAGATTTTAAGCCCACAGACCTAAGCTATTCCTATAGTGTGTCTCCAACTGTAGTCCCTGGAAACCAGCATTTTGAAGAAAATGAGGATTTTGTAAAAATACAGGTTCCTTCATACCCCAAGATCTACTGAACCAGAATATCTTGGAGGGAAGATGTAATGGAAGGTCTCCCCAAATCTGCATTTTAAATGAATTATCTTTGGAAATTTTATGCACTAAAATTTCACCAACAAGAAAATGCCATCAAGTGAGGTACTTTGCACTGATGGAATTAAATTTTAAATTAAAAGATTTCTCACTTAAATGCAAAATATACTTTATTTTCATCTTTTTTTCTTACTGTTATAAAATATATTTGCAGATTTTGCTTCAGTCTAACTCTTTATGCTTGAGGCTTTATGTTTCTCTGAAGCAAAACAGCACTTATAGAGCTGAACAATATTTTTCATATTCCCTACCTGATAAAATCCATAGTAGTAGCATACACAGTATTCTGCATATCAGGTCACTGGGGTAAATGTGTGTCTTTAATATTATGATGAAATTTTTACTGTTAATATTGCAGTCTTCTGGGTTTAACTGTAAGACTGCTTTCTTTTACTCAGTTTATTCAAAGTAGTTATACAACTAGGACAATCTGGTCCCACTCTCCTGCAGGTATATGTTGCCATAGATATTATTTGAGACATTATTATTGTGAACAAGCCAAGTGCACTGAGCAAATATCTTAACTTTACCTAATATCTGCTTTGGCAGGTGGGGAAAATATGATTAAAAACTGCACTTGACATATCTCATTAAGAGAAATCCCAGTGTCTGTCTGTCTGTCTGTCTGTCTCTCTCTCTCTCTCTCTCTCTCTCTCTCTATATATATATATATATATATATATTTTTTTTTTTTTTAACAATACACATCTATCCTAGTGGCCATGTTTCTCCACCTGTGAGAACAGCTGCCATTTATTTATTGGAAAGGTCTAGAAAGCTTGGTGACAAGCATCATAGGGGAGAATTCCTCCAATCCCAAATGGCATAGTTGCTGCATCTAAAAGTGGCCTTGTGTGCATCCTGTGGGGGTGGGTACGTACGTGCTTCAGACAATAGCATGGACTTCCTGACCAGTGCAGAGGGGATTGGAGCAGCACTTCCACTCAGTCTCCTATTGAAGAGTTTGAAGGTTCCCACTCTGGGTCGACTTACCTGGGCTAGAGTTTACCTTTGGTAGCCTTTACTTCATGGAGAATTTACAGGTTACTCATTTCTGTGCACAAGAAAAAAGGCCCTGACCCCCTCTGCTACTGGCTTTGAATTGGCAGGGAGTAGTGGCTAAACATCAAGCCCCCACAACTGGGTGAGCAATCATGCCGGCTTGCAGTAAGGAGAGATGAACCTGTTAGAATTTGAAGTTTATGGTAGATGGGGACTTGGAGGCCATCTGGCCTGCCAACTTTGTTTATAAGAAGTACTCAAAATCCCAGAGACATTCCCAGGGTAAACCACCACCTTGAATTAAAAATTCAGATGCCCTAATTGCAATAGCCCAGGTGCTATTTAAGGGGCCAAGAATTGTCTTTTAGAGATTGACATCTTTCTAATAGGGCACTGAAAAGCATTATGTTTCTGTACTTATACCTACATAGAGCATTTTCTAGAGTCTTTGATTTCAAGAAGTGGAAGAAGTGATTCTCTAAAGCAGCAGTCTATAAAGAGGAAAGAAAGGAGCAGAAGTACTCTGGTGGTATGGAAGAAAATCCATTACAGTGCAGGGAAAAATACTACAATTTATTTAGTTTGTGCTTTAAAATTTATCATTTATATGTGTTTTAGAATGCATATTGTAATATGTAAATACATAATTAATACACATACATAGAGGACATGTGCTTTTTTAAAAAATAAAAGTAAATAATTAAAAGTTTGGAGATAAATGCCTTCAAGTGCATGTAACAAATAACCCTGGCCCACAGACTGCAGATGTGCTGTGTCTGAACTGTGTGGTATTTAAGGAGGAAATGAGAAAGTATTTAAGAAATCAGGAAATTATGCATGAAATCTGAATTTCCAGCTTCTCTTTAAAAAAAAAAAAAAAGACCAAAAAAAAAAAAAATTGCCCAAAACAGGCTTGTTTATTTTGATGGCAAGAGTACAAGAGTAGGTCCTAGCTAGTAGTAGTGTCCCCTTAGGTAGTTTGCTACAGTCCTCATTAGTCCCTATTGTCCCCTGGCTTTGAGACTGGATTTTATTTGTATTTATCATTGTGTTTCAACAGTGCTGGTAAATACGTAACAAAGTCCCTGGGGGGAAAAAAAGACTCTAGTCTATAGCCTTTTCAGATTTCTATGTTGTACATACTTCCACCAGGACAAATTTAAACTACCAACATGACTTGAATGAGTAACAAGTTAGGAAGGAAGCTGACAATCAGCTCTCATGATTTAGATGATTCCAGAAAGCCAGTGACTTTCACTGTTATTTTTCTTAATGTAGGCCACTTCACTCAGTTACCTACATGCTTAATTTCAGTTTTGACCCTTCTCTTAGAGCAGAATGACTGTCAAAGGCTTGGAAGGAATAGAATTCTGGTCTAGATGACTTCAAACTTTCCCTTTCCAATACCTCCCAGTTGCTCACAGTTAAGTGCGCTGGGAGATCCTCCCTGATTCTGATGATAAAGAAACAGCTTGTTGCTAAGGGGCAAGCTAAACCTCTTGGTAGTGGTTTAATATGTTTGCAGATACTTACTTCAGGGTCAGCAACTTCACCAATATTCTGTTGCCCAGATGTTCCTTAGGGCATTCTGGTACCGGACGTATTTCCACAGCATCCTCCTATTATTAATCACATTGTAAAGAAATCACTAGTGAATTTTCATGAAGAGTTCCAGATGGAGTTAACCCAGGGAAGGGAAAACTGCTCAAGTACTCAACTTGGATTTGCTTTATTTCTAACAGCAAAATAACACTTTGACTTTTATAAGCCTACATTCTCCAACACCCAAGCTTCAAAATCAGCATTTACAGCAAACCTCTCTCCTTTTAGAAAGCCTAACATTTAAGACAAAGAGACAGAGAGAGGAAGGAAGGAAATGTGAACATGTATGTGATTTAGTACATCCACCAGATGGCATTGCAAAATCTTATACCTATTGTTGACTTTTTTTTTTTTGCCTGCTCTAAGAAGTACATTTAGAATATTTTTCGAGTCAAGGGCTTTACAAAGTAAATATTGAGTTTCAGACTGAGATATGAGACAGAACAGTTCATTTAAGGATATGAACTACCAATAGTACAGTACTTTCTCAGTTTACTGTTTTCTTAAACAGATGATAGATATTTAGGTTGAATATAGGCTATATACAGACATATCTAGTGAGAACTTGTTAAATATTCTAAGTATAGGAAATATACTAAATTCGTTAGTAATAATGAATTAAGACATAACTGTCAGGAACAATGACATAAAGAGAAATATCAACACCTTATTGTAACTTTTAAAATCCAAATGTAAACCATCACAGTATCTTAATAATATACTTGTATGCAGCAGTAAATAAAGAAAATCTCTGAAAACTTTAATTTCTGCCTTTTAGTAGACTCTCCAAACACTGATGAGTGGTCTGGAGCTCACAAGAGTTCAAAGAATAGTCAAGTCTAACTGTTTTGTCCTGAGCTATAAACGAGGGAGCCTTCCCACCAAATGCCCCAGAGCAATGGTAACATTTTTACAAGTAGCAGCAAAATTGCCATCTTAGTAAATCTGTTCCCAATTTGGTGGAATTGTCAAAGTGGTAAACTCACCCCTACTCTAATCTCTATTCTCCTTCAAGCCCCACTCCTGGGTTTATCTCTTGTCCATCTTACTGGATGGAGTTCCTGAGTTTGATGACTACACAGAGCTGATCTCTAGCTGAGCAGCTGGAACTGTAAGGGTAAACAGAACGGGTACAGCTGAAAGAGAAGTTCCCCTATTGGAAAAGAACCTCAATGTAAAGATACTCAAGGGTTTCTAAGATCACCTTTGTTCTGTATTTAACCTCAGCTATGCTTGTTCAAGTATTTCATTGGAGAATTGTAAACATATATAAAAGTAGAGAGAATAATGTAATGAACCACCTACAGTCATCACAAAGCTTCAACAATTGCAACTCATAGGCAACCTGGTTTCATCTAGCCTCCCACTTAGTACCTCCCCAGACTTAATATTGGATAACTAATAAACAAAACCTCAGACATGATATAAATTCATCTGTAGATATTTCAGTACAGAAATCTAAGAGATTAGGACTTAAGAACACATAACTGTATATCATTATTACTCCTAAAAAGTTAACAATAATTTCTTATTGTCACTACATATTTAGTCAGTTTGATATTTCTCCATCTCAGTTTTTTTATAGGTAGTTTATTAAATCAGGATCCAAGCAAGGTCTACAAATGGATGTATTTCCTAAGTCTCCTCTAATCCTTAAAAACTCCTTGAGCGCTTACAATTATCTTAAATAGGAACTAATTCCCAAAGAGGCGGAAGAGGAAATATGTATCGCAAGTGAATATCCATTGCTTTTATTTTCCTGAAAAATAAATGATAGATAAATAGATAGAGTAGATAGAGCGAGAGATATTCAGATAGAAAAGAAAAGATAACATGAGTAATTATGCTCTTCCATCAGCTGACCAAATGGATCCTGAAGCCAAATTGATATTTGTCTGCATGTGATTGTATTATATGAGCCAATAACCTCGGCCCCCTTTTATTTGCTTTTACTGGTTTTAGTTGGATTCTGTCACCTGTAGCCAAAAGAGTTCTAATGTGAACTCTTTTATGAGTTGGAGTACAGAGACAAATTTCTTCGGGATCAATATATAGTATCCCTTTTATAACGTCAGAATGATAAAGGAAAAGATCATGCCTCATGGAAGTCCAGTAGATGAGTTCTATTTTTACCTTTCCTGTAGACTCAGTCATAGACTGGATTTAATAGTTCACTCACTGGGAAATAAGGTAATGATAATAAAAAATAATTTTCTTAATGTGCTGTCAAAAAATCAACATTAGTAATCACCTCATAGGAGGACAGAAATTTACCTCTCTTCCCTATTACTTTCTTTGGAGAAAGTGCAAATCACAAGTACAAGTGCAGTTTCTGTGTGTGTAACTTCAACATGCTAAGAGCTATTATAGGGACCATCAAGCATTTTAGACATATCAATTTACAAATAACTGGTGTGCTAATTACAAAGCATTCTTCACTACTCACTAAAGTAGGTCCCTTAGGGCCTCTGCTAGATTATAACTTTCAGTCTCAACTGAGATTCTGCATTGTTTTGAAGACCATAAAACAATGTTCTTCCAGAAAGTCTATTCTTTTAATCAACTCAGACTGGATATCTTTCCTTTTAGTCCCATGAGAGAAACTTTGATGAGATGATATCTCACTGAAAATTCTCCTGACCCTTTAATTCTTTCTTGCTTCTGATGTACACTTTGGTTCTCTTTATTATATGTTAGCACCTTCACCATTGCATTAGCAGGAAGGGGAAAGCACGTGAAAGTCAGTTTAATCAGATTTAATTTTTTTAAAGGTTTATTTATTTATACAAGAACCAGGGTACAGGTCAGATGCGCGGGAGGGTGAGAGGATTCACCAGAGACAGAGAGGGGAACAGAACAGGCAGACTGACGAAATACACTGCTGAGGGGAGACAGGAGAGGTCTGCCGTGCCATGTGGGATTCTCACCAGCCTGCAGGGATCGAACCCATGCTGCAGAGGCTGCGGACAGCTTCACAGTGTGGCACTCAATCGCCTGCGCCACCAGGGAGGCCCAGATTTAGTATTTCTTGACAAATCTGGCAAAAAGTTTTAAAGTTGCAGATGGAAACTAAAAAGTTGTGAGACAAGATATAACTGTTTATATCATCTTTAGATCTCAGTTATGTGTGCTAATTTACCAAGAAGTCATATATAAACAGGCAAACATAAAACTTGGTGGTAATGGGTTAGAACCCCCTTGCAATAATTTAATTTGCCTGTTGAATCCCTTGAAATCTGAAGAATGGAGATGATAACACTGACCATGTTATTCATATTGATTTTTTTTTTTTTTTGTGGGACCCTTGGTGGCAGCCGGGGAATGAACCGGCGCTGCAGAGGCTGCAGGCAGCCTCGCAGCCCAGCGCTCAACCACTGAGCCACCAGGGGAGGCCCTCATACTTATTTTTAATCTGTCTAATTCAGAAAAGGACTTGGGGCCTCTAACAGTAAAAAAAAATAATTTGAGGCCAAAGAGGGAAAAAATTAGATGAGAAAACCAACGTGATCTGAAAATTAGCATAAGAAAAAGGGAAAGCTGAAGTAAATTCAGGACACCAATAAGTAAACCATCAGAATTAGCAGAGTTGAACAGAAATTTGACTCTAAGTAAAGAATTTAGGAGAGTTAATTACAAGACACACACAATCTCTAAGTGTACACATTTTCTCTATGGGCCACGATTCTTCTTTGTCCAAAGACTTGAGTGGCAATTTCCCTTTGGATCCTTGTTGAGGAAGGTGCTTGCTGGATGATGAACAGGTCGAAGTCCTCAATAATATTTGCAAGGTGGATGTGAGATCATAATTTCAGGGTTGCTGTTTCCCCAGTTGTCCTTTTTGCTGATGAGTGGTAAGTCCATCATAAGACAAGTTAGCAAGCACACTTCACAGGGGTGGCAGCTTCACAAGATATGTATGAGAATCAGGCTCCCTAGTAGTCTTATTTGATCCACAGATGAAATTTCAGATATTTAGGGGCAGGGAATATATGGGATATCTTTCACACAAAATTTCTCCAAATCTATTTCTTACAACTGAACTTTTAATAAAGTTTGGGTTGCAGAGATATTGCAGTAATCTTTTGGCAAGACCTGCAAGTATAGATATGACATGCAGACGAGAAAGACAGAGAGGATAAAGTGTAAGAAGTCTAATATAGGCCTATATAAAGTATATGAAAGTACATAAAGTATAAGGCCATGCATTATCCCATCAAAATGCCCCAGAGGTGACCATAGGCAAGGCCTAAATTATCAAATTGTTCTGGGTCAGCTCTATAATATATAAAGAAATGGACAGTCAAGACCCCCACATTCTATGCACTCGGAGCAAGGCTATAATTGAATTAGTCTGTAATGTTCTCAAAGCAGACATTTCAGGTTGTTTATAGAGAACATTAAGAAAAAATCCTTGGATAAAGAATATTGGGCATTAATAGACAATGGAATACTATTCAGCTAAATCCTGACATTTGCAACAACATGGAAGAACCTAGAGAGTATTATGCTTAGTTGAAGTAAGTCAGACAGAGAAAGTCAAACACCATATTATTTCACTCATGTGGATACAGAGAAACCAAATGGACTAACTAAATGAAACAAAAGTAATATTTTAGAATATAAGAACAATTAGTGGTTATCAAAGTGAAAAGGGAAAGGGAGTGGATAAATCAGACAAAAAGGGTCAACTGTATGGTGAAGAATAGAATTGGACATTCAGTGGTGAGCTTGATATAGTAGTTACACATGTCAATTTTTTAATGTGCATGCCTGAAACATATAATTTTATAATGTAATTTTACTTCCATAAAAATAATCTAAAAAAAAACCCCAAAGCACTGAAGAATATGCCCTAGTAGATTAATTTCAAAACATACCCCCAAATAACAAAATGATCGGACTCACTGAGTGGATAATGCCTTAGACTCCTGAAATGTTTTGAGGATCATATGAGATAGCATCAGTGAAAGTGTTGTAAAGTGCTATAAACATAATAGTTGTGATTATTGGAATCTGATTTGTATAATGAACACTCACTGACTGTGTTATTACACAGGCGTGCCTTAATGAAAGAAAAATAAACAGCCCCCAAAATCATGTGATGAAATACCCAGACATTGCTCTACAGTAGTAAAGAAAATAGTATTTCCTTAGAGATTCTGTATCTTTAGTGAAATTCTCTAGCATGGAGAAAGTTGTACCCACCTCATCCACAGATGGATAAAGGGCAAAGAGCTCAGCCTGCCGATTTGTCCTCCTGGCTTCTTCATTCTGCTTCTCAAAGTCTTCAGCATTCACGTGTTGCAGAAGGTTTTCCAGCCGGTGGTCTGGCTGCAGGTTGCGAAGGGTGAAGTCACAGGCAGTGAGGGGGCCTTTCCCAGACACATCACAGAGCACATTTATGTGAAGGGGACCTGCCTGTAAGAGAAGACACAATTTTGTGAGAGAGATCATGGATCTAAAAAGAGAACTGCATCTGGGATGTTTCAAAACTATCCACTGTGGAATTTCAGAATGAAGCCTTAAGGAATTTCTGAATAAACTGGGGATTTGACAAAAATGACATTTTAGCCTCTTGGCTTAAGGAGCCTAAATTTTTATATTATTTTTAGTTTGTCAGTCTTTTACATGTTATATAACTTTTGGGCTACATGTTTTACTCCTCTATGTGGATATTCTAACATTAAATGTCTCCATCCCACCTGGAAGGAAGTAATTTAATCATTGTATGCAAATAAACTCACTGTGAGAAAAGGCTTGAAAACAGCACTGTGCTCCCAAAACTTCTGGGGCATGTATTCTTTTCTGGAGATTGGAAACCAAGTCTTTTCTGAACCAGGCTCATGTCTCATGCGCAAGCAGAACAGAATTGGAATAAGATGTAACAAAAAGGAAACGGGACTTGGAAGTAAAGGAACCTTGTTATAATCTCAACTCCAGAGCCTGGTATTTGGAGCTGGAAAATAAGATGATCTGTGAGAAGCTTTCCAAATTAAACTTTCTCTAAACTCCAAAGCTAAATAGTCTGTCACCAAAGACAACGTTGTGGGGTTGTGGACATGTTCCTATAGGGATTTAGGAATAAGCACTAAAACAAAAAAAGAAAAGCATTGCTATTCCAGCAGTGTCTGCTTTTAGCTGCAGTATGTTTGAAAAAAAATGTGAAATCACAAACAAGGATCCTTTATTCCGTTAGGAATGTTTTAATAATTGGGGGTTGCATACCCAATCAAAGAAGTGGCAAAGAATATACAGTCATGGCAAACAAAATACCATGGGAATATAGATGAGTCTATTATAAAACACTATATTATTAATAGTAAAATATTACCTTAAAGTCTACAAAATGGACATCCCACTGTACAATTTCTCTATGATATATGCTTTTAATGATATCTATCTACCCCATAAAAATGCTAGTCAGATCATAAATTTTACCTAAACTGAATGCATTATCAATAATCAATATTGATGCATTAATTATTAAAACTTTAAAAAAATATTTATTTATTTATGCATACAAGAGCTGGAGTACAGGCCAGGGGGATGCAGGGGGTGGTGGTGAGAGGGGAACAGAAGAAGCAGACTGACTGACATACACTGCTCATACATACACTGCTGAGGGGAACAGCGGGCAAGACAGGCGAGGTCTGCCTCACCATGTGGGTTGCTCCCTGGCCAGCCCAGGAATGAACTTGGGTTACAGAGGCTGTGGATTGCTTCATAGTGTGGTGCTTAACCGTTTGCGCCACCAGGGAAGCCCCCTTAAAACTTTCTTTTGTCTTAGAATTTATAAGAGCCTTGGGAAAATGAGTTGAATTTTCCAATTTTTTTTAAAAAGATGTTGATATGATGAGATACACGCACATAAACACACACACATATATATATGTGGATATATGTATAGATAGCCAGAATTTATGCTAAGGTTATACCTAGATAAATGAACAAGAGCACAAGAACATCTCTAGAACACAGTAATAGGAAAATAATAGAAAAAATCTAAACGTACCCCAAAAGAAGATCATTAAGAGATTCAGGGACACTCATGGGATGGGCATGTTATAATAGTCATTAAAAACAAACAAACATGCATTCATTGGAAGAGAAAGATGATTACAGGGTATTGTACTGTTACTATGAAAAAAGGAAGGCATACACTATAATTTTTATGAAATAAGTATGTACCATCAATAAGTGTTTGTGTATGTGAATTCTGGCATTTGGCCTCATTATTTCAATTAATAAGTTGCACAAGAATGACTGTAAAAAGGAAGATGTTGCTGGGTGACTGATGGTCTGAATATATCTCCATGGTGAGTATTAGTTTTATTAGTTTAAAACTTAAAAATATGACATATTTTGTATAATTTGGCTCTGAAACCCAGTCAGTGACTTAATTGAGTACTCTGTAAGTGTGCTGAAGAATGAGTGTGTTTTATAAGTGTACTGGTCAGTCACTCGGGTCTAAATTGTCTGTAAGGTCTAAATTTCTAACTGGGCTCAGTAAATCTTTCTGCCTTGCCACTATTACCTTTAGGTTCGTTAGGTTGTGGTTTGCCACTATTCCCTTTAGGCTGTGCTACAAGGAGATTGAATGGCTAGCAGAGAGAGAAAAGACTGGATCCTTCTTTGCTAGCAGTTCTTCTAACATGGTAGTGGCAATTGGTTTTAGCCTTCAGTTTCTTTTGGCCTTTTCATAACCATCCTCATTTTACCTCTTTGCAGGTACCAGCACCAACTAACCTCCTCTTCTTAGGAGGTCTGAGTCCATATTTCAGACCCTGAAAGGTCTATCTTCTGATTTCCTGAGATAACACCACTAATTAGGCAGTGCTTCCTCCTCAGAGATTTGAGGCTCAGCTCTGAGTCCCTATTCTGATCTGATTACTTCCAGCTCTTTCGATTAAACCCATGGTTCTTAAATGTCATTCCAGAGGATTCTGATGGAGTTAAAGTTTGAGAACCACTGGCCTAGGCCCCAGTCTCAGGATGGTGTGCTATTTCCTGCAGTTAGAATTTCTGTCTGAATTCAATTTTCTCTTTTGGTTCTCTTAGTGCTCCAAAATTTTTTAAACTAATCCCATATGTTAAATTTCCTCATGGAAATACCCACTGTGACTTTTGTCTGATAAATACAAGAAACAGTTTAGTTGGTGATTATACATGGTGAAAACTTAATTTAGTCAAAATGACCAATGAAAATCTCTTCAATCTCCCATCGTGTAGTGGTTTTTTTTTTTTTTTTTTTTAAGATTTATTTATACAAGAACTGGGGTACAGGTCAGAGGCGCAGGAGGGTGAGAGAATTCATTAGAGACAGAGTGGGGAACAGAACAGGCAGACAGACCAAAGACACTGCTGAGGGGAGCAGTGAGCGAGGCAGAAGAGGTCAGCCATGCCATGTGGGTTTCCCGTTGGCCGGCTGGGAATCGAAACTGCGCTGCAGAGGCTGTGGGCAGCTCAACCCGCTGTACCACCAGGGAGGCCCACCATTGTGTATTGTTCACAGATATTCTGGAATTGACTGAGTCATCTGTAATTCTCAGAGGACTGGCCTGAAGGAATAGGCTTGGTTGTAAGGACCATGTTGTTTGAAAATGAACATTATTTTAAAATCCTCTAGTCTTATTCAGCTTGGTGATAAAAAGCTTATGTTATAAGGGCACCCAAAAACCAAAGACTATACTGGTTTAGATGTCCTGTGCAACTTGGACAGTTTCCCGCCCCCCCCCCCCGCTATGTTTTCTTCTTCTTTTTCTCATCTAGAAAATGAGCAGATTGGATTTAAGCACTGGCATTTAAATTGATTTTTTTTTAATTTTGGTACAATGGACTCCACTGACAATATGGCTGAATAGAGAAGTTTTGATCACCTCCTTCCCTAAATACAACTATAAAAAAAAATTAATATTTGCTCAAAGGAAGATTCAGAGGTTTCTTAACAGAGAATTTACAGCATGTTGGCAGCATGTTGCAGGAAAAGGAGAGGGGAGCCATCAATTCTTTCTTTATAAAAAACATTTAAAACTGAAAGACAAAGACAAATGTAAAGTGAAAGGTTGGAGCAAGGTGATGCAGGTCAATACTCAGAAAGAAAACTAGGTACTGCTATTTTCATATTTAATAAATTAGACGTTCAACCAAAGTGGAATCAAAGACAACGATGTACATAAAGGTCAAGGGACTAATTCATCAAAAAAGACCTAACTGCCATTAATATTTTTGCACCTAAACAGGGGCACCTAATTATAAAAAGCAACTATTAACAGACCTAAAATAACATATTGACAAAAACACAATTATTGTCACACCACTGACATGAAGGGATAGGTCATCCAGACAGAAAATTAACAAGGAAATAAAGGCCTTAATTGAAGTGTTGGAAGAGATGGACTTATTAGACATTTACAGACCCTTTACCCGAATAGAAATGAATACACATTCTTCTCAAATGCACATGAACAGTCTGGAGAATAGATCTTATGTGAGACATAAAATATGTGTGAGAAAATATATGAGAATAGAAAATATATCAGGCATCTTCCAAATTATAATGGTATAAATCTGGAAGCTAACTACAAAAAGAATAAACTAAAACATGTGTCTACTAAGCAAAATGCTTCTAACCAACTCCTAGGTCAATGAAGCAATCAAAGGAGAAATTAAAATGTATCTGGAGACTAACAAAAATGGAAAGACAAGTTACTAGATCCTAAGGGATGCTCTAAAAGCAGTTCAAGGCAATATAGGTGCATATTTAATGAAAGAACAAGAAAAATATCAAATAAATAATCTAACTCTACAGCTTAAAGAATTACAGCAAATTAATCTGAAATTCAGTAGGAGGAAGGAAATAATAAAAAAATAGGGCAGAAATACATAATATAGAAAACAAAAAGTCTGAAAGATCATGAAACTAAGAGTTGGACTTTGAATAAGTAAGTGAAATTGACAAACCTTAACCAGGCTCACCAAGAAGAGAGAACACCCAAATAAATGGAATCATAAATGAAAGTTGAAATTACAACAGATGCTACAGAAATACAATGGATCATGAGAAGCTACTATAAATGTCTCAGTGCAAACAAACTAGACAACCAAGAAGAAATGGACAAATTTTCAGATTCACACAACCTTCCAAGACTGAACCAGGATGAAGCAGACAGCTTAAACAGTCCAATCACAAGTGCAGAAATTGAAAGAGTAATAAAAAGTGATTATGCTAAGTGAAATAAGTCAGAAAGTGAAAGATGTCAGATGGTCCACTTACCTGTGAAATATAAATAACAAAAAATATATACTGACAAAGCACAGCAAAACCAATTAGTCTTTGTGGAAAATATACTAGAGGGAACAGGTGGGAGGGATATGGCACTGGCATGAGAGGTTTGGTGGAGGGTGAGTGAAGCATGTGCACATACACATTAATACACATATGTGTGTATACACACACACACACACACACACGGAGGAGTAAAAATGTAACCATAAAGGTATATAGACATGTAAATGACTAAAAATAAGTAACATTAAAAAATATGGTAAAATACACATAACATAAAATTTACCATCTTGAGCATTTTTTAGAGTGCAGTTCAATAGTGTTTACCACATTCACGTCGTCAAGGCAACCATCCTCCAGAACTCTTTTCATCTTGCAAAACTTAAATTATAGATGTTGAACACAAACTCCCCATCCATTCTCACCCAACCCCCTGCAACAACCATTCTAATATCTGTCACTCTGAATTTCACTACTCTAAATTCCTAACACAAATGGAATCCTTGTGCAACTGGTATATTTCACTTAGCATAACATCCTCAAGGTTCATCCAAGTTGTAGCAAAGATATAATTTTCTCCTTTTTTAAGACTGAATAATTTTTCATTGCATGTTCATGCAACAGTTTACTCATTCATTTAGCTGTCCATGGATATTTGGCTACTGTGAATAATGCTATCATGAATGCAGGTGTATAGAGCTCTGACTTTAAAACTGTAACTACTATATACAAATAATTATAGTAACAACAACAACAACAACAGCCAACATTTACTGGGCACTAAGTGTGATCTGACATTGTCCTAAATGCTTTACACATATTAACTCATTCAATGCTAAAACAACCTCATGTGTTAGTTACAATTATTCTTGTTTGCCAGGGGAGGATTCTGAAGCCTAGAGAGTTTAACTATCATGCCTGGGTTAGTATGGAGTTGCATCACAAAGAGAACCCAGTCTATCTCACCGTGGAGCTTTTAATCACTCTGCAGCCTGCAGTAGAGGCACCACTGAGTCTCCCAGGAAATGTTACAGGGATGGGCCCAAAGGGGCCTCCTTACCCCTGCAATTAGGGTCCCTCTACTTTTATCTATTTTAATTATTGAGTGTCTGGGGGTTTCATTTGAACCCTGACTTCTGCAACTAAAATTAATTTGAGAAACATATCACTGACTCAGAGAGTACAGTTTCTCCTACACTACTATTCTGAATCTAGCCTTCTTTTGAGTTAAAGAATATTGACAGCATGCTCTGAGCCGAACAGCCCTGTAACCTGGTAACCATGTTTGTTGATAGGAAATACCTGCGCGCTGGGTTCACTGCACTCCAAGGTTTCTGACTCAAACGTCTGTTTCTGCAGCGTCTTGTGAAAATCTTTCCGGGATCCAGTCTTTTTAAAGGCGCAAACCTCCGAACTTCCTTGGTTTCTTTTATTGATGTTATTATACAATTTGTTGAGTGAGACACAGAGAGAGAGAGAGAGGCAAAACCATTAGATTAAAATAAAGTAATGGCTTAAGCATAGACACAGTGCTGAAAGATCTTGTAAAGAGAGGACCAATTGTAATTCCCCACATCTAATTATGCACCAGGATTAATACAAGGCTCTGTTCTGTTGAGATACAGACTTGCCTCCTGGCTGGCTCATTATTAAAGGCAGGAATGGCCTGGGAAAATGCCACTTTAGAGGTGCGGTCATTTCAGCTGTGGGGCATTTGGCTCCAAGCTGAAGCTAAACTATGACCCGAATTTAAGAGGTTGGAATAAATCTAGCAATGTGCAGAAGCTGCAAATAAAGATCATTTGAAGCTAAAAATAGAGGACAACATTTAATCTCCACATCAATGATCTTAATAATGATCAAAAAGGAGGATTCTGAAAGGGAAAATAGAAATAAATGATTTAAACTGAAAAATTTTGCTAATTCTCAATCTCCACTGGATACATGACATCAAAATTGAGTTTTAAAAGTGTGCAGCTATAAAAAGACTGCAAAATGTATTGTGTAGTCTTGTCACTGGAGAAGGAATTTAAACCATCACAAAAAGGGCAGCAGATATCAGTTGTCAAGTAATAACTATAGAAACAATATATCCACCATTCTTATGACTCAGAGCCTTCCTGGAAGACATATTGCAAGTCAACCTCACAAACACCACCCACTTTGTTTGAATCTCACACTAGTAGTGAAACCGTTGAGTAAGTTGGTAAAGCGACAAGAAATGAGGTTAGGATTTATTAGGCAGATCAAATGGCAGACAGCTAAAACAAGAAATGTAGGAAAGCTACTAGCAATGTTCCAAATACAGTTGATAACCCTGTGAGAGGGTGACACCATATTGGGTTGAGCACAGTGATACACATATTGCCAGTGCTCAATAAATTTAGTTGACTGAATAAAAGAGGAAAAAAGAGTGCTGCAATATACATAGGAGTGTAGGTTTCCTTTTGAGTTAGTGGTTTTGTGTCCTTTGGGTAGACAACTTAATTGTTTCCACACAGATGGATGGATCAAGAAGATGTAGTATATATATAGTGGAATACTACTCGGTAATCAAAAAAGATAAACTCATGCCATTTGCAGCAATATGGATGGAGCTGGAAAGGATTAGGCTAGCAGAAATAAGTTAGAAGGAAAAGGATAAATATATGATGATTTCACTTACATCTGAAATACAGACAAAACTTGCAAGCTGCCCATAGATCTGAGGCATGCAGCAGGGGAGGGAGAAGGTGAGGGTCAAAGTAGGGGAGGGAAGAACACAAGGGACTGTGGCAATAGTCACGGGTGACGTGATCGAGGGAGAACATGGTCGAGGGAGAACTACGAGGACTACACTTGAGGGGAGAAATAAAATATTGTCCAAAAATTAACAGTGATGTAAGAAAACAAAGTACTTAAATAAAAATAAATAAATAAATAAAAATTAAAAAAAAGAAAAACTCCATGAATTTTCAGGGTCATCTGTAGGTAGAGAGTTAGAATCTCTCCCTAGATTTTATTGTACTCTCAAGATGAGCAATTTGTTTTGAGTAAAAGGAGACAAGCAAATGCTTAGAAGATATAAAAGATGGACATGGTGACCAATTCATTTTAAGGGTTATTGTGAACGGTGATCTTCATTGTCCTCAGGCCATCTGAATTGCCCCAACCCAAATCTGTATTGAGGACTGGGTAAGTTGCAGGACAAATTACGGAACTGAAAAAATATGTAAATGAATAAGGGTATTCTGAATAAGGAAATAAGACTAAACATATAGAAAGAATTTCAAGAGAAATATCTAGAATAATTTCTGGTTCGGAATTCCTAAACATCAATAAAATAAAACAAAATTTACAATATAAATCATTGTTTATAAACATTAACGGAAGCATCCTGGAATACTCTTTAAAACAGTTTCTCAGAAGTAGTAACTATCTGAAATAGTTAAGAAAATGATTTTTTTTCAGTTGTTCTAAGTATGCAAAATATAGTAGTAAAATAGACACTCATATGAACAAAATTTATTTTATATTATAGCATTTATTTCCCTTTCTAACAGAAGTTTTGGAAAGAAAACCTCACATGAAATTTCATAAAACTACTAACTTCTTAAAAGTTACTCTCATCAGTATGTCTTTAGGCAGCAATGTGGACATATATGCTGGCTGGGAAGGCTTCCCTGATGCATAAAGTCACTTTTTGGAACTCTCCCTACTAGGTCAAAGAAAAAAAGCTACATGTGACCTAACATCCTGGAGAATATATACCCAGTTTAAAGTTGTGGCAAATATTAAGTTGATCCTAATATTATACTACTTATACACATCAATGGGCACTGATGTCAAAGGTCACATGTCTCTTTACAAGGAAACCCTCTTGGGGACACATATATAAAAATCAGAAAGCAGGCTAGTTTATTTATGGTAGTCTTGGTGATCAGGAAGATATCTGCTTTAAACTTGTATTTTCTCATAAAATGCACCTATTTCCATAAGTATTACAGGTGAACAACAACAACACACACACACAATTATAGATGCTTGCCTGCTTCCATCATCCTCAAGTCACTTCTTTCCATGTGTCTGTCTGTTCATAGAATGAGGCATGGGCATGAGGTAAATTCTAGTATATTTTCATCAGCTTTAAGATTTTTATGCTAAAAATTTCACATGCTATATCTGAAATAATTAAAACTAAGTTTTCTTCCCAAAAGATGCTTAAATCTGGGATAAATGAAATTTATTTGGATATTACTCTTTCATCCTTTCATGCAAATAGATAATTTCTTGTCCTCTATTTTGTTAAAGGTTAGGTTTTCTGGAGTTTTTTTATGAACCCCAAAGGCACTGACAAATGGGCATATAAAATATGAGCTTCAGAATAGTATTCTAAGTTCATTTCACAATATATGCATTGTAACCCTTGACATGTACCAGCTCCCGGCATTTGGGATGTGGAAAGCATTAAGACTAATGCATTCCATGACTTTGCATTTGAAACCAGAGCAAACTTTTCTCCCTTCCTTATTCTAGAGTTAGCATCCATTTCCCCATTTTAAAATCTCAGAAAGTTGCAAAGCTATCTTGTGGCAGCAGGGGTAATGTTGGTTGTGTAGGAGAGGACATGGTTGGAATACATGCAAAGATGACTCATTTCAGTAGTGCCAATCACAGAAGGTAGAAACCACCAGTGAGTAGGTAGGGAGGTTGCTGGCTGATTGCCACTGGCTACCAGCATCCTAACCTCAACACTCCAACCAAGCAACTGAGCCAACTCATGCCATCTTCCTGTTAGGCTATTTGCAGACAAGAGAGAGATGGGGAAGTAGCCAAGTGGTAGACAGACTACTTTCATGAAATGAAAACAATCTGTTTTTTCTCAAGAGACTGAATTCCTTTCTTCAAACACTAGTTGGGGATAATCCCAAGACTAAACATGCTTTGAGAGCATTCCCTTGGAGGGAGTTTGGGGAAACAGACATAATCTAGTGTCTACAGCCTGAAAGACCTAGATTCAGATGCTGGCTCCTTACAAACTGGCTATGAGACCTTGAGCAAGTGACTCAATCTCTGAGTCATGATTTCTTCAAATATATAATGGAGGAAAATATTGCTCATGTTGCAGGTCTATAGTGATAATTAGAAAATAATGAATTAACTTCTTCCCCTTCCCCTTTCCCTTCCTCTTCACTTCCTTACTAGACAGTTTGGTGTGAAAGTCAACAGAAAAACATATCCATCTTACACAGCTGGTGGGAGTGCAAACTGGTCCAACCACAATGGAAAGCTGTGTGGAGTTTCCTCAGAATACTAAAAATGTATCTAGCATTTGATTCAGCAATTCCACTCCTAGGAATCTACCCAAAGGACACAAAAACACTAATTCAAAGGAAATCTGCACTCCTATATTTATTGTGACACTATTTACAATTGCTTAGATATGGAAACTACCTAAATGCTCCAAAACAGACAAACGGATCAAAAAGTTGTGGTATGTTTACACAATGGAATATTACTCAGCAATCAAAAAAGATAAACTAATGCTATTTGAAGCAACATGAATGGAGCTAGAAGGGATTATGCTAAGCAAAATGTCAGAAGGAAAAAAGATAAATATTAGATTGTTTCACTTATATACAGAACATAGAGAAACCAAACAAAAGGCCAAGAAAAGACAAAAACTAGCAAGCTGGCCATAGATCTGAGGCATATAGCAAGGAAGGGGTGGAGGAGGGTCAAAAAAGGGGAGGGGGGCCTCCCCGGTGGCGCAGCGGTTGAGCGCTGGGTTGCGAAGCTGCCCGCGGCCTCTGTGGCGCCGGTTCGATCCCTGGCTGCTCCCCGGCCACCGGAGGAGGGTCCCACATGGCGCGCAGACCTCTCCTGCCGCCCGCTGCTCCCCTCAGCAGTGTACTTCGGTCCTTCTGCCTGCTCTGCTCCCCGCTCTGGCTCTGGTGAATTCTCTCACCCTCCCGCGCTTCTGACTGTACCCAGTGCATGTATAAACAAAACAAACAAACAAACCAGCAAACAAATAAATAAAGCATGCCTCTATAAAAAAAAAAAAAAAAAAAAAAAGGGAGGGAAAACACAAGGGTCTGTGGTCATGGTTTGCAGGTGATATGGTGGTGGAAGAACTATGGGAATACATCTTAGGGGAGAAACGAATTACTGTACAAAAATGAACAACAATGTAAGAAAATTAAAATAATATTTTTCAAAATGTGGGAATTAGAAAACTAGAATGTTGATTAGGTTTATAGGTATTAATAAGAATTTGCGGCATTTAGTGCATGCATACTCACACTAACTGTTCACTGAGAAGACATGGAAGGAACAACAGCTTAATAACAATGAGTGCACCTGAAACCTAATTCTTGACTTCTAAGTACCATTTTCCAGTAAAAGGAATCAAAGCTTCTTAGTGAAATAACTGATTGCAGGCAT